CCAGTAATATAAATAGTAGCATAAATACAGGGGCCTTAAGCCCACCAGTTCAGTTTAGTTCCAGCTGCCTAAGTGGATACATGTACAAGGCATATTTCGGCATGCCTGTCGGGCATCAAGACAAACCCTGGGCACCTCATTTCACCTGCGAGCAATGCAAAAAAATACTCTGGAAGGTAAGATGGACAATTTTTGCTCGGAATTTTATGTTATCAAATTTGTTACAATTAAAAAAATTGTAAGTTTAAAATTTAAAAATGTTTTTTTTAATTTTCAATGTTATTGAAAAAATATATCATACATGAAGAATGTTGCGATAGTCTCTTACACATTAGCCATGGGTGAAATAAATGTATTTTTGTAGGATGGTACAAAGGGGAAAAGAGAGCCATGAAGTTCGCTATCCCAAGAATTTGGCGGGAACCCACTGACCACTCAAGCAACTGCTACTTCTATATGGTGGACCCTTCCAAACGTAGGACTGTCAAGAATGCACCTGCTATCACATATCCGGACCTTCCTTCATCCATCGCCCCGGTGCCACACTGCCATGAGCTCCCCATACCCACTACTCCGGAGAGAGAGCAGCCGTCTTTAGAAGAGAACAGCAAGCCGGAGAGCGAAGAAAACATTGTAGATGCAGATGACAATTCCAGAGGTGGAGCTGAGGAGAGAAACCCAAACTACCCCAACCAAAAATACCTCAACGACTTGATCAAAGATCTTGGTCTCACCTAGTCCAATGCCGAGCTTTTGACGTCTAGGCTCAAGCAGTGGAACTCGTTGGATGAAAGAAGTGTGCAAGTCGCAGATCAGAGAAAGTGTCACCAACCTTTTTGCAGCTTCTTCACCTGTCAATATGAGCTCTGCTTCTGCCACAACATGATCAGTCTGTTCGAGGCAATCGGAATCGCCTGTAACCAGAATGAGTGGCGCATCTTCATTGACAGCTCATCCAGGAGCCTCAAAGCCGTGCTGCTCCATAATGGTAACAAGTATCCGTCTCTTCCCCTGGCTCACTCGGTGCACCTCAAAGAGGATTACAACAGCATCAAAACCTTGCTGGACGCCTTGAAGTATGATGAGTATGGCTGGGAGGTCATCGAAGACTTCAACATGGTGGCATTCCTGATGGGTCTCCAAGGCGGTTTTACCAAGTTTCTCTGCTATGCCTTTGGGACAGCAGGGACACCAAGGCGCACTACCACAGGTGGGACTGGCCACAGCGGACCGAGTTCTCTGTGGGGAGGAACCACATCAAGTGGGAGCCACTGGTGGACCCCCCAAGGTGCTGATGCCACCACTGCACATCAAATTGGGCCTTATGAAACAAATTGTCAGAGCTGTAGATAAGGAGTCGGCAGCCTTCAAGTACCTTCAAGATTTCTTCCCTAAGCTGTCTGAGGCAAAGGTCAAAGCCGTTGTTACCGTCGGACCACAGATAAAGAAGATCCTGGAGTGCAATGAATTCCCCAAGAAGCTCACTAGTAAGGAGAAAGCGGCTTGGAACAGCTTTGTCGCAGTGGTTCGTGGCTTCCTGGGCAATCACAAGGTCGAAAAGTACGTGGAGCTGGTTGAGACTGGTGAAGAACTACGGCATAATGGGCTGTATGATGTTCCTCAAAGTCCATATCCTTGATGCCCATCTTGATAAATTCAAGGAGAACATGGGAGTGTACTCGGAGGAGCAAGGCGAGCACTTCCACCAGGATATACTGGACTTTGAACGCCGCTACCAAGGACAGTATAACGAGAACATGATGGGAGACTACATTTGGGGGCTGATTCGTGAAAGTGATTTACATTATAATCGTAAATCTCGAAAAACTATTCACTTCTAAATCTTTTGTAGTAATTTTTATTACTTTAGTATAAATACATGTACATTTTGATTCATATGTTGTTTTTCGCCCGTTTTCTAATTGAAAATAGGTACATTAAAAAATGTCACTGTCCTGGTCACAAAAGCAAAGTTTGTGGGGAATAATAGCCATTTTATATAATTTTTAGGCATAAGCAATTACGAAATAACACTTACTACCCAGGAACAGAAATTGTGTTACATAGTGTTATTGATCAGTAGTGGTGTTGATGTTGCGTGATGATGCCGCTGCCAATGATTGCTGCCGCTGCTGATGATGACTCCCTATCGGCCGTTCTCCTCTGACGAACGCGTCCCAGTCATCCGTGCCCTCGACTCCCTGCCCCTGTTAAAATGCAGAACTCGATAGCCTTCCCCGACTGCCTTCCTCCATCAAATACAAATTCAGCGTCTTCAGATGCCGTCGCATTTACACGCCGCGCACACTCCGAAGCAGTCTAATTGCGCGCTGCGGACTTGCACAGACTGCCACGCAGACCCGCAGACTCGCACAGAGACGCGTGGCTTTGCTGGCTATGCACGTGGCCGTCTGTAATCCGGCACTGCGAAGGGCGGCAGCGAGGGTTGATGTGATGGATCACCACCGCACACACACGCGCGTTGTGAGACTCCCTTCCCCGTGGGTGGGCGTCGAGGAGGTGGTGCCGTACTCCTGGGCTCTGCCAGGAGAAGGCGGTACGGCTAAAATGTGGACTCCACCTGTTCCGTCTGCATGGGATAGAGCGTTGCCCCCTCGCACGCGTGGGGTTTCTCCGGGTGCTCCGGTTGCCTCCCAACATGTAAAAAACTCATCAATTGGCCGGTAACACCTTCATATGTAGAGGACCGAAGATCTTGGGCAATTGTTGTGAGTGCTGACTGCTCACCCCGTGGCTGCTGCTGCCTTCCTGCAGCTTCGTCAGTGGTTCCTTCGCTTGGCGCCTCTGAGGCGTCCTCTCTGTCTGAGTCGTCCTCTCTCTCTCCAAGTCGTCCTCTCTCTCCAAGTCGTTCTCTCTCTCCGAGTCGTCGTCTCTCTCTCCGAGTCGTCCTCTCTCTCTCCGAGTCGTCCTCTCTCTCTCCGAGTCGTCCTCTCTCTCTCCGAGTCGTCCTCTTTCTCTCCGAGTCGTCCTCTCTCTCTCTCAGAGTCGTCCTCTCTCTCTCTCTCAGAGTCGTCCTCTCTCTCTCTCAGAGTCGTCCTCTCTCTCTCCGAGTCGTCCTCTCTCCACGAGAGCGACGAGTGAGTGGATGTCACGCTGCTCTGGAGGGCGCAGCGTGGCAGGTGGGCGGGGTTCTTGCTCATTGTACAATCAGCGCGCCCGCTGCTGTGGATGTGCAGCATCGTAAGCTGCGATCATATTCACACGCTGCTGCTGCTGCCGCCGCCTAAATAAACAATGGCTTATTGTCGACGGCGCTGCTGCAATTTTTTTATTATTATAATTATGATTGCTCAGTGATGATTATTATGATTAATCAGTGATGATGGTTGATTGATCAGTGATGATGATTATGATCGGTCAGTGATTATTACTGATCAGGGATGATTATTATAATTGAGTAGTGATGATCGATCAGATATGATGATTGTGATTGATCGTCGATGATTATCATCATCGCCGATCAGTGATCATGATCGATCCGTGAGTGATGAAAATTGCTGATGATGATCAATCAGTGGTGGTGGTGTTTCCTGCTACTATCTGATGATGATGTTGACGATGATGGTGATAATTGTTGATGATGACTGATCAGTGGTGATGTTTCCTGCTACTATCCGATAATGATGATGTTGATGATAGTGATAATTGTTTATGATTGATCAGTGGTGGTTATTGTTGATGACCGATCAGTGGTGTTGATGTTTCCTGCTAACATGTGATGTTGATGATGGTGACAATTGTTGATGATGACTGATGAGTGGTGGTGATGTTGATGATGATGGTGGTGGTGACTGCTACCGAATGTGTCTCGATACCCGAGCAGGTTAGCGCTCCACGCGGGACCCCCGTGCGCAGCTGAAAGAGGCCCTGGGCGGGAACGTCGCCACACGAACGTCACTCACGCGGCTGGCCAAACGTCCCATGAACATCCCATGAACATCCCCAGTGTGGCAGGAGCCGCCTCCAAATAACCTCTCGACACTCAGACATCGAAACTTTCCCGACGACATCTAAACACGCACACGCACACACGCGCTTGTCTGTGTGTGCGTGCGCGTGTTGAACTTAGCGGTGGTGTGGTGGTTAGCGCTGCGCTACGAAGTTCGATTCCCGCTCACGGCCAACACTGGTAACGATTATCTGAACCGGTCCTGGGCCTCCCCTAGGTCGACTCAGCCTTAAACGAGTACCTCGTGCGGTGTGTAAACATCCCCACTAGGGAGACAAAGGCGGCCGGGCGTGGTGCCGGCCACCCACCCTCTCGTGTGCCGTGCCGGCCTTCGTAGGTGCTCGCTAACAGCACTTGCCCCAACAGCCTGTTAAGGCTCTATGGGGGAAATCTATATAGTTTTTTGTTCAACTTATTTCGCGCGTCTCCGATTAGCACGGTCGGCTACGTGTATGGTGCGAAAGAAGTTCAACATACACGCGGTAAAGCCGCATTGTGATTCGCGGATTGGGAGCGGTGGCGCGGTGGTTAGCGCCGCTGGGCTCCGAAACGGTGAGTCGTGGGCTCCGGCCCCTTCACCAACGCTCATCGACTCGCGTGGTGAAGTATGGCGACGCGGAGGACAAGGAGCCACCGCGGAGTGACGGCGGAAAAGCTCCGCATGGTGACCACAAGCACAACCACCACCACCACAACTCAAAAAACAACCACCATAACCAATAACCACGACCACCAACCACAACTACCACCACCACAACAGCTCCAAAACAACCACTATAACCGCAACCACCATAAGCGACACCGTAACCACCAATAACCACAAACAACCACCACCAGCAGCAGCAACCAGCAGAGTCAACCCTCGCATCAGCCCCGTGCTGGAATTCGCTCGCGCGTTACCGTGCGCGAACGCGCGTTCCCCTCTCTCGTCCCCCCTCTCGTCCCCTCTCTCGCCCCCTCTCTCGCCCCCTCTCTCGTCCCCTCTCTCGCCTCCTCTCGTCCCCTCTCGTCCCCTCGCCGGGGTCCTCACCGGTCCGGGAAGGGGGCGAACCCCATGCCGAAGGAGCCGTTGAGGGGAGTCATGGAGCCCGCCGCCAGCGCCGAGCCATCGCCGGCTAAGAGCCCGGCGGCCGTGCCGCTCGCCACCGCGGCGTCCGCGTAGTCCGGGAAGAGGCGGTGCATCCCAGGGACTGCGCGCTCCTCCCTCCCGCTACCGCTCAGCCCCGGCTCACGAAGACCGGGAGCCCTGGCTCAGGGAAGAGCTCGTGGCTCATGAAGACGGGAGACGCCTGGCTCGCGGAGGGAGCGTCCTGGCTGCTGGAGAGAGCGAGAGCTCGTGGCTCATGGAGACGGAGCGGCCTGGCTCATGGAGATGGAGCGGCCTGGCTTATGGAGATGGAGCCGCCTGGCTCATGGAGATGGAGCCGCCTGGCTCATGGAGAAAGCAAGACTCGTGGCTCATGGAGAGAGGAGGAAACGCCTGGCTCACGGAGCGTCGTGGCTCCTGGAGAGAGCGAGAGCTCTGGATTATGGAGAGGGAGGGGAGAGTGGGAAGAGGGGGGGGGGGTAAAGGCTCAGCACGACTCAGCGCTGCCCGGGGGCTCACGAGTCAGAGCCCCAGCGGAGGCACGACCGCTGAGCCACGACCGCGCTCCGGGCAGCGCGGCGAGGTGTCGCGTCTCGCATCGCGCGCCCCCAGTCCCTCCCCGGACTCCTGCCGCTACCGCTACTCTCCTCGCTGTTGTATGTGCGTTGAACTTCTTGCGCACCGTACGTAGCCGCTGCTGCTGCTGTAGTTGTTGTTGCTGCTCGAGTAGTTGTAGCTGCAGCTGCTCCCGTGTGTCGTGGTAGTTTGCGACCGCGACGCTGCGTCGTCTCTGCTGTCGGGCTGCTGCTGCTGCTGCGTCGAGACGGGGCGCGCGAGATGAGCAGCAACACGCGGGGCCCTCCTCCTCTTCCCCCGCCTCCTCCTCCGCTGCCGCTGCTCTCCAGGGTGAGGGTCAGGGCCGGAGCGCGTGGTGCCCCGCGCGGGGCGGTCGAGGAGTGGAGAGAAGTGAGAGGGAGACAGAGAGAAGGGTGGGGGGGGGGGCTCGTGGTGGTGGTGCGGGAGCGTTAACACGCAGCGCTCGAGATGAGCCAATGGGCGGTTCCTCCTAGCATCTCCCCCGCCCCGCCCCTGGGTTCCACTGACAACGTGTTGCACGTGAATCCATGTGCAGCATGTGATGGGTGTGTGTGTCAGTGCGTATCTGTCTGTGTGTACGTGGGGAGCGGTAGTGGAGCGGGTCGCGCGCTAAGCTACGAACCTGGCGACCCGGGTTCGATTCCCGCTCACGGCCAACGGCGGTGACGATAATCGGAAACGGTCCTGGGCCTCCCCTAGATCGACTCAGCCTTAAATGAGTGCCTGGTGCGTTGTGTAAACATCGCCAATGGGGAGACAAAGGCGGCCGGGCGTGGTGTTGGCCACCCACCCCCTCGTGTGTCTTGTCAGCCTTCATAGGTGCTCGCTATCAGAGCTTATGGGGGGTCTTTGTCTTTGCGACTCTGTGCGCGTGTGTGTGGAGCGGCGGTGTACTGGGTAGCGCACCGCGCTACGAACCAGGCGGCCCGAGTTCGACATCAGTGGCGAATATCCGAACCGGTCCTGGACTTACCTTAGGTAGACTCGACCTTAAATGAGTACCTCTGTGCGATATGTACACATCTTCACCGGTGAGACAAAGGCGGCTGGGCGTGGTGCTGTCCACGCCACCCCCTCCGACTCACGAGGTGGGATGGGGGGGGGCGAGTTGGGTGGGGGGACTAGGTGGTGGGGGGGGGGGGCGAGGTGGTCTCGGTGTCGGCTGCCTCGCCGTTGCCCCCCCCGACCCCGCACCTCCGGCGATCTCGGTTGGCGTGCGGACGTTGGCGACAGCGGCGCTCACCTGGTGGTTGACGCGGGGTGAGCGTGACGAGGGCAGCTGGCGCGTCATGAGCACGGTCGGTGCACCCCCAAACCCCATTAGTTACACGCGGCTGGGTTGACAGGAAGCTTCGAGGCATGTCAATCAAACTACAGCGGGGCCCCCACAATCTCACACAGCCGCGACTCACGCGACTGCACTTGTTTTTCCTAAACTTGTTCGTCCGTTCGCCGGTTGCCCCCCCACCCCCACTCCGCCACAAAGGTGCACGACGGGACAGGAGAGTTGTTTGGCGGCTGCCGTGAATATGCGAGTGATTTCATGAGTCCATCTGGTCGATAGCCAGAGTCGCTTCTGCAACGACGACTTCGGCGCACACGCAGACTCATCTGCCCACATTGGCATCATATATCGTCCAATTGTTCATGCATTCATTACATAAAGCATATATATGTCACGTGTACTCTATACGATACTTTCATTCTATGCAATGTGCGTGGTGGTACTGTGTTTAAAAAATGACAACATTAAAATCCCTCAACGCATTTGTCAATCACAAAAAAAGCGTTGTTTCGGCAGCTCAGTGAGGGGGGCCTTGCCTGGGAGAGTAAACATTATTGTGAAAATAAAAATACAGGGTGCTTCTAAACATGTTTTTAACACTTGTGAGAATTTGCAACAATAGCACAAGAAATGTGCCTCCTCCGGGCTCTAGAGACCACCTGGAGGAGATTCGAGGCAACGCGTTGACAATGATGGCGTGCAAGTGGAGACTGTGACTTTTTGAAGCTATGAACATACATTTGCTATCATGTTACAGTGTATTATCCGTTCTTTTTCCATTATAAACGAGAGTCCCATGTAAGTGTGAACATTTTTTGAAGCACCCTGAATAATAAAAACAGGCGACGGAACGGGTAAAAAAACAGACGAACAAATGAACAAACAAACACACAATTAGATCAATGAACAACAAATAATCAAACACATTTACAAGTAGATACATGAATAAACAAACACGTCATTAAATAAATAAGCAAACGAATAAATAAACAAATAAACAAACAAACAGTATCTCGCAGATACGCGACGCGGCCACCCCAATAAACCCGACCCCAAACGTTCACTTTATTTTGACAGAGTCCCCTTCATACCCTCCCCACCACCAGAAAATAAAAAAAATCGCGGGCGCATTTTTTGCTTCTTCTGCTGCTTCTGATGCTGTTTCTGCTTCTTTTGCTGCTGATGCTGTTTCTGCTTCTTTTGCTGCTGCTGCTTTTGATGCTTCTGATGCTGCTTCTGATGCTGTTTCTGCTGCTTCTGATGCTTCTGCTGCTTCTGCTGCTGTTTCTGCTGCTTCTTCTGCTGCTTCTTCTGCTGCTTCTTCTGCTGCTTCTGCTGCTGCGGATGCGGCGGCACGCGCCGCGATCTTTGGCAGGCGACGGCCGTCACGGGGCCGCCGCCGTTTGACAGAAGCCGCGTGAGAGACCGTTGGGGCGGGGGGGGCACTGACGAGTTAAATAGCGGGGGGCTGGGGGATGGGGTGGGGGGGTTGGGGGGCTGAGGTGGGGGGGGGGGTTGGGGGGCTGGGGTGGTGGGGCCACTGACGAATTAAATAGCGGGGGAGGGGGGCTGTGGACGGGGGGGGGGGCTGGGGTGGGTGGGGGCTCGTGACGGGGGCGCTGGGGTGGGGGGGGGGGCTGGGGACGGGGGGGAGCTGGGGTGGGGGGGCTGGGGACGGGGGGGGGGGTCTGGAGTGGAGGCTGGGGTGGGGGCTAGGGGGGTATTGGGCGTTGGTTGATGGCATCGCGGGGTTTCCGTCGCTGCAAGAGGTCGCAATCCCCCTGGGGTCCACATCAGCCGTGTGAGCGAGGAGTGAGCGGTGGTGCAGCGGTTAGCGCGCCGCGCTGCGCTACCCCGCGAGCCCGAGTGCGATTCCCGCTCCACGGCCAACATCGGTGAGGATTATCTGCATCGGTCCCGGGCCTCCCCTAGGTCGACTCAGTCGCAAGCGAGCACCTGGTGCGGTGTGTAAAACATCGCGATTTGGGGAGGCAAAGGCGGCCGGGCGTGGTGCTGGCCACCCACCCCCCTCGTGTGCCACAGTGCCGGCCTTCATAGGTGCTGCTCGCGCACAGCACTTACCCCAACAGTCTGCTAAGGCTACACGGGGGATCTTTGTCTTTGATGTTTTCATAAAGAGAGAGATTCCAGCCGCCCTCCAATTCACCAGTGGATTAGGGCTTTCGACCAATGCCATATCGGCCGTGGGAAGTTAAGTTTTTTAACGTGACCATACTTCACCACGCTGGTCAGTGCCGGTTGGGTGCGTGTGTGGCAAATTTACGTAGCTCCGCGTGCCCTCTGACCCACAGCCCTGCCCCCTAAACATCTACCCCGCCCTCCAGTTGTGGGATTAAAATGTAGGTTGAGTGTTTGATGGGATGGATCACTGCATGGATTCCCACCGAAGTGGAATGCCTTTTGCAAAGGCAACAGGGATGCGTGCGTGTGCACGTGTGTGCTGTGGGGAGCGGTGGTGTAGCGGTCAGCGCTACGCTGCCCTTACGAACCCGGCGACACGGGTTCGATGGTTCCCGCTCACGGCCAACACCGGTGACGATTATCTGAACCGGTCCCGGGCCTCCTCTAGGTTGACTCAGCCTCAAACGGGGGTACCTGGTGCGGTGTGCTAACGTCGCCACTGGTGGAGACAAAGGCGGCCGGGCGTGGTGCTGGCCACCCACTCGCGTGCCACAGTGCCGGCAGCCTTCAAAGGTGCCACTCCGCTAACAGCACTTGCACCAGCAGCCTGTTAAGCTGTACAGGGGGTCTCTGCGGCTCACGTAAAACGAAAGCGACCCCGGGGGGGGGGGGTGGGTGCGTGCTCGATGGCCGAGAGAACCCCCCTTGCTAAACCCCCGGGGCCGGCACGTGTTGTTTGCTGAAACCAAATGAAGCGATTTGAACGCTTGGCTCTCGGTTGGTTAAAATGGAAGAGTCGTCGTGTACGTCGAGTATACAAGAAGTATCGTGTGTTGGTGTCATCCGTGCGGCGTGGTGCTGGCCACCCACCCCGCTTCGTGTGCAACAGTGCCGGCCTTCATAGGTGCTACTCGCTGTCAGCACTTGCCCCAACAGTCTGTTAAGGCTATTATACTGTCGGGGGAGAATGTGTCTTTGTGTCACCCGTACACCGTGGGGCGCGGTAGTGCAGTGGTTAACGCGCTGCGCTACGAACCCGTCCACCCGAGTTCAATTCCGACCAACGTCAGTGACTGGACCGGTCCTGGGCCTCTCACCAAGGTTGACTCAGCCTTAGAAATTAGCTCATTGTGTGGCGTGAAACCATCAGCACTTTAGCATTTGGGCGACAAAGGCGGCCGGGCGGCCGTGGTGTTGGCCACCCACCCCGCCACGTGCCCTGCCGACCTTCATCCGTGTCTCTGTCACCGTGCAAGCATAGCGCGCCGATGACTGCAGCGGCAATCGCCACCACCATCACCATTATCGGGCGCGCGCAGCGTGTAACGGCGTGCGGCGCTTGCGAGCGAGAGACGACGCAGGGTGGACGCGTCCGTTGCATAGCAGAGTCCTTTATTAACCCGACACAGCAGCAGCAGCAGCGGACATGCATAGGGGGTGCGAGGGGGGGGCAAGGGTCTGGGTCGGTAGAGTACCCACACACACACAGACTGGCAACAGCGACACAGCGAAGAAGGGACACGCGAACACAAGTTGCGCGACGTCTGTACACGGCCGTATGTACACGGAAACGCGCTTCTGTCGAGAAGAAGACGAAGAGAGACGAAGGCAACGGGACCTGCATTCACCTTGGGGCCCTTCTCTCTACGGTGGCCGAGGAAGGCACGGGGGGGGGAGGTGGCTACACTTGAGCGGGGGGGGGGGCTCTGTTATATTGTGGGTAGGGGCGGGGGGGCTCTGCTATGTAGGGGGGGGGTGACCTTTAATACGCGGGGTGGATCTGTACGCAAAAGGCTCGGCAATTTGGGGGAAGAGGCTCTGGACCTAATTACCCAGGGGAGAGCCACGGGATTCGTTTTGTGTGTATTAAGGAGGCTCCTGCCTGCTACATTGGGATGCTCGTGGCCAACGCCGAGGGCAGAGACTGCGCGCGGTGGGTTTAGCTACGGGGAGGTCACCGGAGCGAAATCCATTGCAGGACACGGGCGAGAGAACAAACACGAACTCCACGGAGAGAACTGGCGCCTTCAATTTAGAACTATGATGGGGGTTTCTGATATGGCCGAAGATTTGTTTATATGGGAGGGGGAATTGGTGGGATGGGGGGTGGAGGTGGGGGGGAATTCACCGCGTGATGCCCCCACACCCCCTACCGCTCGACACCACCACTCACAGGGGACGCGGCACTCGCGAAGTCTGAAAATGCGAAGGGGGGAGGCAGAGCGGAAGAGGCCTTCAACTTGGCAGCGGAGAGACGATGGCTGTGACGATGATTGTGATGCCTCTGGTGGGCCACGCTTTTCACGCACAGCTCAGTCACTGCAAGAGGCCCTTCTGCAGTGCCTGGCCACGCTTCAACACAGTGGTGTTGGTGGTGGTGATGATGGTGTTGCCAGGTCATAAGATGCCTTGCAGTGACAACATCGTTTGCGGGCCGTGCCTAAAGTTGGGAGACCCCTGGTGGCCCCGGCTAGACGGGACATCAAGTTGGCCCACGTGGCCGTAAGTTTCTCCACCGCTGGCTTCAGAGGAATTATCTGGGGGGAGGGGGGGGGGCAATTCCACTGCAAGGAAGTTAATTGATCCACACACAGACGACACCTCGGGCTGAGACCAAGAACCCACGTGGAGACACGTGTGTGTGTGGATTGGGCCATGCGCGCACACGAGTGTGTGTGTGTGGATGGGTCCATGAGCGCACGCGTGTGTGTGTACGTACGTATGGAGGCGCAGTGGTGGCTCAAACCGCTGCGCTACGAGCCCGACGACCCGAGTTCGATTCCCGTTCACGGCCCACATCCGTGACGATTGTCTGAACCGTTTCTGAGTGCCTGGTGCGGTGTATAAACATCGCCACTCGGGAGACAAAGGCGGGCGGCCGTGGTGCTGGCCAATCAACCCCTCCTGTGGCGTGCCGGCCTTCTTCATAGAAGCTCGCTAAGAACACTTGCCCCGACAGTCTGTGCAAGGCTATACGGGGGATCTTTGTATGCAGGTGGCGCCTTTGCCAGTCATCTCAGTTTAACCCGTAACACCTGGGGGGGGAGAGGGGGGGGGGCTCCTGCCAGCGATGGCCTGAAAGTGCACCTAGCCTGGTACAAGCACCGTGATGAAGTCACCGTCACTTAGTTGAATGCAGGCGTTGTTGTTGTTGTTGTAGTATTTGTTGTCTTTGTGTGCATGCAGCAGGGGAGCGGTGGCGCACTGGTGAGCGCACTGTGCTGTCATCCCGCTCGTCCAAGTTCGATTCCCTGGTACACGGCTATCATCAGTGGCAAGAATTATAAACGTCTCCTGGGCCTCCCCTAGGGCGTCTCAGCCCTAAACGTGTTCGTAAATATCAACACGAGGGATACAAAGGAGGTCGGACGGTGGCAATGGCCACACCACCTCCTCGTGCGCCGCGGGCGTCTTAATAGGTGCTCGCTCGCAGCACTTGCCCCGAGACCAATTGTAAACGAGCTACATGGAACACCTTTGTCTGTATGAGGGTGGCGGCGCCCCCCCCCCCTCCCCACCGCCGCTAGTTGTTGTTAGAGGTTCACGGCTCGAATTCCATCGGCCGCCCCTGGTTATTACCGCGGGCACAACAATGACGTCACAGGGGTTCCCCGTGACGTCATTGGCAAGAGGCGGGGCCATCGCGTGCCGGCCGCGGGCAGGGGGTCCACGTCTTTTGTCAAATCGGTGAACCTCGTCGCACGTGAGTCGATTGGGATCTTGCCCACACACACACACAGCTGCAGCCACAGCCCCCCCCCGCCCCTATCCCACCCCCACCCGCTGGCCTGACCTATTGTGGTCTCACCTGGCTAAACAAAACCAACGGAGGCCTGTGTGTGTGTGAGAGCGTTGTGACCAGAGTTTGATTCGTGGCCAAGAGCGGCATTTGCCCCAACAGTTTGTGTTGACCTTCGTGTGTTCGTATGTACCCGTGTTGGCGTGTGTGTGTGTTTGAGTGATACTTACACCAACCAGATACACCGGTATGGGATATCAATACACCTGCTCAGCCATCAGTGCGATTAACTGGGGGTGCCAGAGCAGGGCATGGATGGTGGTAATGGGGCCTTGGTGAATGATAGTAATGGCCATGATGATGATCATGGTGATGGAGGTGATGATGGTGATGATGGCGATGATGGTAATGATGGACATGATGGCGATCGACATGATGGAGGTCGACTCAGCCTTAAATGAGTACCTGATGCGGTGTGTAAACATCAGTTCCGGGGAGACAAACGCGGCGGGGCATGGTGCTGGCCACCCACCCCCTCGTGGGCCGTGTCCACTAACAGCACTTGCCCCAACAGTCTGTTAAAGGCTATACTAGGAAGCTTTGCCTTTCTGTGAATGTGCATCTGTGTTTGTGTATCCATGACCGTGTGCAAGTGAGGGGGTTACCTCCAGGTTGTATACATCAGCAGAAGGTGCGATTACAGCCAAATCCACAGACACACACTGATACAGACACACAGGCACACACACAAAGATACACGGGGACGCACACACGCACACGCGTGCCAGCGCCCACTCACGCACACGCACGCTATTTCGAGTAAGCGCAGCACCTGGTTTCTGGCCGTGCCGGACCTGTGCGGCGAGGGCCCGCGGGCGAACACCGCTCGATCTACCGCTCGCGTCGTGCGGCATCGCTACACCGCACGGCTCGGCACGCCTGCACAACCCAGCGCACCTGCACAACCCAGTGCACCTGCACGGCCCAGCGCACCTGCACAACCCAGCGCACCTGCACAGCCCAGCGCACCTGCACAGCCCAGCGCACCTGCACAGCATAGCGCACCTGCACAGCCCTGCGCACCTGCACAGCCCAGCGCACCTGCACAACCCAGCCCACCTGCACAGCCCAGCGCACCTCCACAACCCAGCGCACCTGCACAACCCAGCGCACCTGCACAACCCAGCCCACCTGCACAGCCCTGCGCACCTGCACAGCCCTGCGCAGCTACCGCGCGCTCTCCCCCCTGCGACCATGCTCATCGGATGGAGACGACGACCTGCACCAACGGGACGCTCCGCTCCCTACGCACGATTTCTCCGAGGCCGACGTTGTTGCCGCCCCTCCGCCCCCCGAGATGAAATTCGCGAGTGCGCGATGGGGGGGGGGGGGCGGCAAGGCCGGTCGGGGCAATCCCTTGCAGGGGAGGGGTCACGGAGGTAGCGGCCTGGAGGGTCCGAGGGTCCTGGCCACACCGCCTCTTCCACTCCGATCTCCGCTCCTCCCCGGGGGTCGAGGTGGCCGTGGCCGGCTCGGGTCATCGCGTCGTTGGGACCTGCCGGTTGAGAATACGTGACACCTCAATGAGGGTAAGGATTGCCACCTGAACCATCGTTTTCCCCAGGGATCGTCCTTTTGTTGCGTGAAGTAGCCGTCCTGGGAAACCTGTAAGTGTTCGCGCAAAAACATTCAACGTTTTGGTTTTTGTCATTGGGTGTAGCAATAATAATAACAATACGAACAATAACGCGCCACTATCACTCCCCTCATCGTGAGCATATTCGCCCGCGCGTGGATACTGCCCCGGTGTTTTGCACCACGAAGGTGACGACTCTACCTTGCCGTGGAGGTGCTGGCCTTTCCTCGGCCTTGTCCGGTGGTGGTGGGACTAGGGGCGGGGGGGGGTGGGTGGCCGGCTCGCCCTGACCCCTCCCCAGGGGTTGACACCACAGCGGGCGAGAGAGAGAGGAAAGAGGAGGGGGGGGGGCCCACTCAGGGCACCGACGCGGCTAATGGAGCGCGCCAATCTCCCATCTGGTGATCGCGGCGGAGCACCATTAAGGCAACAAGGCCATTAGCCCCGCAGATTGTGCCACGGCCGGCCCCTTTCCATCATCTCTCGAAATTGACAGCGGCGCGCGGAGCTCGGGAGGAATTAAATCCCCGCGCCGGCAAAAAAATTATCCCTGCGCGCTTTTAATCCGAGCAGAGGAAAAAAAAAGATGTATATAAATATATAAAATATAAAAACTCCAAATTGTGCAGCATCATCGCTGGCGCGGTTAAATGAGATTTCGCCGTTCTTGTTGCTGCTGTCGCAGCTCGAGTTGAGGAGGGGGCTTAATTTGTTTGTTCGCGTAACGTCTCCGCACAGGTAACAACAACAACAACGACGACAACCACAACAACAACAATAACCACAACAACGCCTACAACTACAGTGACGACAACAATAACTACTAGGACAACAAAAACAACGACAACAACATCTACAACGACCACAACAACAACGGCCACAACAACAACTACCACAATAACAACAATGACCACAACAACAACAAGCACCACCACCACCACAGTAACGACGACGATGACAATGACGACGACCACAACAGCAGCCATAGTAACAGGAGCGAGGTGGGCGAGTGGCAGGCTGGGTTCACGTTGGCCATGTCAGAGACACCGAGACACCAACCCACAGCTGTACACGAGGGGGTGGGGTGGCCAGCACCACGCCCGACCGCCTTTGTCTCCCCAGTGGCTGAGTCGACACCGGTGTTGGCCGTGAGCGGGAATTAAACCCGGGTCGCCGGGTTCGTAACGTAGCGTAGCGCTAACCGTTACACTGCACCACTATACGTAAGTTCGCGCACACACCCACACGTATATTTAATTCGGTGCTTTCGTTGAATTCAGCTAATTTCTACTCTTTTGAGAAATAAAGAAAACAACAACAACGAATGAGAATAGGTTTTCCCCTTTTTTCTGGCAACAAAACAGGTGTTAAGATGTCAAAACACAAAACTGGCACCTTTTACAATGAATCATGTCTGACTTAACCACAACACTTGTGGTCAGAATGCAAACAAAAAACTAACTCTGATAATATATGCATTGTCTTTGAAACTGATTGGTCCACACCAGAGACAGCTTTCTTTTGAGCCTCGTCTCAAAACGGTGTTAGACCAGAGGACGCCAAAAGGTGTACAGCACAAAGACAATGCACTATCAGAGTAATGAAGGCTCGGGGTAGAGCATCTACATCAGGGGTGGGGAACGTCCGGCCCACGGGCCGTATAAGGCCCGCGAAATCATTTGGTGTGGCCCTGCCAAGGCAACCGCAGGCGGGACTCGAAATTCAATCAATCTAGGAGCAAACCTGGAAAAGCAGTTGCGAGTAGCAGCATCATCAATACCAGCTAACATCACACGCCTCGCCAAAGAGAAGCAGTTCCAGCCATCGCATTAGGGGTGAGTTAATGAAATGTTCGACCAAATATAACAGGCAAATTTTTAAGTTGATAATTTTGTATGGCCCGCGAATGATGTTATACATATCCAAATGGCCCTTGGCAGAAAAAAGGTTCCCCACATCTGACCTACATCATGGGACCTCCTTTGCCAGTACCAAAATATGAAAATATTAAACAACAACAACAAACCCCATTGCTTTGTTCACCGCTCTGGAACATTCGTGGCCAGGCCCGTGAGACGGTGACGCCTCCGCCCACCGTGCACCACCACACACACGCAGGGCGGAGGGACCTCGTCAGTAGCTCTGTGACGTCACCCATAACGGGGTGGGGGCAGGGGGGCTGTTCTCCGGCACAAGGCGGTGCACTGCTCTCCGCGAGCCGTTGCAGTGGAAATTCCTTCATCTCGTGCCAACGTGGCCGCTCACCCCCAGTCAGCCGCACAACTGGAATATAATTTGGCGCAAGGCCAAAAAATATAAAAATGTTTTTTTTTACATGGAAGTGAAAAACCTAATCCTCTCGTTGCCGTCCGCGGTGGCGGCGGTGGTGGTGGCCCCCTCCACCCCCCCCCCCGCGTCTGCGCGACACGCGGGGGGGGGGGGGTGTCGCCCCGAGCGCAATTCTTGACGCTCCTCCGTCGTTGCCCGGGGCGAGGCGGCCCTTCGTCAGCAACAAAGAGCGAGCGGGCCCATCAATCATCGCCGGTGGGAAGAGTCCGAGAAAGAGCGAAGCCGCCCCCGGGGCGACGAGGGGTAGGGTGAGGCCCCCCCCCCACACCTCCTCTAGTGGGGGGGTGGGGGGGGTTCCTCACGATAGTGGCACAGCCACCGCGGGTCCCGGTGGGGGGGGGGGGTATGGACACCCCACCCCAGGATCTGTATTTATCGTCAACGGTTGCGGTTGGATGACTGCCGCTGTGTGTACGCGTTTCATCCCAATCGAGTGATCCGCGGCGTCATTTCCGAACTTGCCAAATTTAGACCCCGGCACCGAGACGCGCAATGGAGTCTTTAACGTGCGCTGTGAAGCAGACGGCGCGTCGTCGTAGCGGCGTCACGGTTCACGCACGCGCAGTCATAATGAGTGGCGGCCGCTGGATTCCAGCCGTGAACGTCGCGGCCTTAAAGCGGCTGGGACGCGCTGCCGCCGCTGGGCCGCTGTCGGCATCGTCAGGTGCGCGCTGCGGCCGGGCTCTCTCGTGTGGTGGTGACCGCGAGCACCGGGGATCCCAGGTGGTGGGCGCAAAAGTAGGTGGAGAAGAAGAGGGGGGCGGAGGAGGAAGATGAAGGCGAGCGCCTCACCTGGAGGCGACGCAGGGTGCAGGCCAATGCTGGGCGCTTAGGGGAGGGCTTTGGGCCTCCCTCCCGCGTTGCAGGGAGGGAGTTTGGCTCCGGAGCGGCCGCCGGGGGCCGCCGGGTGGCCCTGCCGTGCGGACCCCACGTGGGCCAGGCCCCGGGAGCCTTTCCCGCGCTCCGCGGGCCCCTCCGAGGTTCTCGTGGGCCCCGCGCGGAGCCTCGGGCTCCTCGGCGTGAGCTGAGCGCAGGGGACAACGCGCACGCAGGTGTGTCAAAGACAAAGATCCCCCGTGTAGCCTCAGCAGGCTGTTGGGGCAAGTGCTGTTAGCGAGCACCTATTAAGGCCGGCACGGAACACGAGGGGGTGGGTGGCTAACACCACGCCCGGCCGCCTTTGTCTCCCCAGTGACGATGTTTACACACTGCACCAGGTACTCATTTGAGGCTGAGTCGACCTAGGGGAGGCCCAGGACCGGTTTAGATAATCGTGACCAGTGTTGGCAGTGAGCGGGAATCGAACCCGGGTCTCCGGGTTCTTAGCGCAGCGCGCTCACCGCTACACCACCTCTCCCCACTACGCAGGTGTGGTGCAGGTGTGTGCAGGTGTGTGCAGGTGTGTGCAGGTGTTGGCACAAACATCCCGAGTGGCAGTTGGTGAGCGCCTGCCAGGCGCTGGCTATGCCGCGCAAGGTGGTGGCGCGGGCGGCCCCACTGCTCACATTGACGCACAGCACCGGGCAGAGCGACGGTGCGTGCCTCAAAAGTGCCGCGTTCACAGTTGGGGGCGGGGCTGGGGGGGGTGCAAACTATGACGTAAGCACCACGCAGCACGATGGCGGAATGAAGAGCCCACGTGATCATTCCGTGCGTATTACCCAGCATTCCCACACCGCTCATCGGCGCAACTCAAGAAAGTAGTCCGTTGTCGTCCGCTCAGGAAGCGTGTTATAAACGGGGCGCCTTCCGCGTTACAGCGGTGTGCGTTCCGCGTCATAACTGGCGCGTTCCATGGTGTAAATCCACGTTATGATGCGCAATCTGCGTTAAAACGTGCTACTCGTTCCACGGTACAACATGCATTCTGCGTTATAACAGGGGCATCCTGCGTTACAATGCGCACGTTCCGTGTTATCACGCGCCGATTCACGTACGTTATAACAGTGCGCGTTCCGCACTGTGCGAAACGTGTTCCCTCATAGAAGAACCGCGTTATAGCGAAAACGCGTTGGGCATACACGGGATAAACGAGGAATTTCTGTACTCGTCTGAGGCTGAACCGACCCTAGCAGAGTCTCGGAGTGCTGGGCCAGATATCACTCGCCACTCCTGTCGGCCGTGGCCGGGAAATCGAACGCGAGTTGCCGGTTTCGTAGAGAAGCGTGCTAACCGTTGTGCCACCGCTCCCCAGAGGAGTGCGCGCACGCAAACGCAACGATCGGCATACCCGGCGCAATGCTGCATAGGCGGACTGACGTCATTGCCATCATCGCCGCCATCATCATGCCATTACTGTCATCAGCGGTCCGACCCATTCCCATCATCGTTATCCCATCAGCGCTTGGTGGTCGTCATGACGACCAGGGAGCCTCACACCCATCCCTAACCCCTGATGAACCACATGGAGTTTGGATAGGTATTGTGGGACTGTGTGTGCCGTGGTGGTACTGCGTGTGTCGTGGTGGTACTGCGTGTCATGGTGGGACTGTGTGTGTCGTGGTGGGACTGCGTGTGTCATGGTGGGACTGCGTGTGTCGTGGTGAGACTGCGTGTGTCGTGGTGGGACTGCGTGTGTCGTGGTGGGATTGCGTGTGTCGTGGTGGGACTGCGTGTGTCGTGGTGGGACTGCGTGTGTCGTGGTGGGACTGTGTGTGTCGTGGTGAGACTGCGTGTGTCGTGGTGGGACTGCGTGTGTCGCGGTGGGATTGCGTGTGTCGTGGTGGGACTGTGTGTGTCGTGGTGGGACTGCGTGTGTCGTGGTGGGACTGTGTGTGTCGTGGTGAGACTGCGTGTGTCGTGGTGGGACTGCGTGTGTCGCGGTGGGATTGCGTGTGTCGTGGTGGGACTGCGTGTGTCGTGGTGGGACTGCGTGTGTCGTGGTGGGACTGCGTGTGTCGTGGTGAGACTGTGTGTCGTGGTGGGACTGCGTGTGTCGTGGTGGGACTGGGTGTGCCGTGGTGGGACTGCGTGTGCCGTGGTGGGACTGGGTGTGCCGTGGTGGTACTGCGTGTGTCGTGGTGGGACTGGGTGTGCCGTGGTGGTACTGCGTGTGTCGTGGTGGGACTGCGTGTGTCGTGGTGGGACTGCGTGTGTCGTGGTGGGACTGTGTGTCGTGGTGGGACTGCGTGTGTCGTGGTGGGACTGTGTGTGTCGTGGTGGGACTGCGTGTGACATGGTGGTACTGCGTGTGTCGTGGTGGGACTGCGTGTGTCGTGGTGGGACTGCTTGTAACGTGATGGGACTGCGTGTGTCGTGGTGGGACTGGGTGTGCCGTGGTGGGACTGCGTGTGTCGTAGTGGGACTGCGTGTGTCGTGGTGGGACTGGGTGTGCCGTGGTGGGACTGCGTGTGACGTGGTGGGACTGTGTGTGTCGTGGTGGGACTGCGTGTGACATGGTGGTACTGCGTGTGTCGTGGTGGGACTGCGTGTGTCGTGGTGGGACTGCTTGTAACGTGATGGGACTGCGTGTGTCGTGGTGGGACTGGGTGTGCCGTGGTGGGACTGCGTGTGTCGTAGTGGGACTGCGTGTGTCGTGGTGGGACTGGGTGTGCCGTGGTGGGACTGCGTGTGACGTGGTGGGACTGGGTGTGTCGTGGTGGTACTGTGTGTGTCGTGGTGGGACTGCGTGTGTCGTGGTGGGACTGGGTGTGCCGTGGTGGGACTGGGTGTGTCGTGGTGGTACTGTGTGTGTCGTGGTGGGACTGGGTGTGCCGTGGTGGTACTGCGTGTGACGTGGTGGGACTGGGTGTGTCGTGGTGGGACTGGGTGTGTCGTGGTGGGACTGCGTGTGACGTGGTGGGACTGGGTGTGTCGTGGTGGTACTGTGTGTGTCGTGGTGGGACTGCGTGTGTCGTGGTGGGACTGCGTGTGTCGTGGTGGGACTGGGTGTGTCGTGGTGGGACTGCGTGTGTCGTGGTGGGACTGCGTGTGTCGTGGTGGGACTGCGTGTGACGTGGTGGGACTGGGTGTGTCGTGGTGGTACTGCGTGTGTCGTGGTGGGACTGGGTGTGCCGTGGTGGTACTGCGTGTGTCGTGGTGGGACTGCGTGTGACGTAGTGGGACTGGGTGTGTCGTGGTGGTACTGCGTGTGTCGTGGTGGGACTGGGTGTGCCGTGGTGGTACTGCGTGTGTCGTGGTGGGACTGGGTGTGCCGTGGTGGTACTGCGTGTGTCGTGGTGGGACTGCGTGTGACGTGGTGGGACTGCGTGTGTCGTGGTGGGACTGCGTGTGCCGTGGTGGGACTGCGTGTGTCGTGGTGGTACTGCGTGTGTCGTGGTGGGACTGCGTGTGTCGTGGTGGGACTGCGTGTGTCGTGGTGGTACTGTGTGTGTCGTGGTGGGACTGAGCGTGCCGTGGTGGGACTGTGTGTGTCGTGGTGGGACTGTGTGTGTCGTGGTGGGACTGGGTGTGTCGTCGTGGGACCTCGTGTGTCGTGGTGGGACTGCGCGTGCCGTGGTGGGACTGCGCGTGCCGTGGTGGTACTGTGTGTGCCGTGGTGGGACTGCGTGTGCCGTGGTGGTACTGTGTGTGTCGTGGTGGGACTGCGTGTGTCGTGGTGGGACTGTGTGTGTCGTGGTGGGACTGCGTGTGTCGTGGTGGGACTGTGTGTGCCGTGGTGGGACTGCGTGTGCCGTGGTGGGACTGTGTGTGTCGTGGTGGGACTGTGTGTGTCGTGGTGGTACTGCGTGTGCCGTGGTGGGACTGCGTGTGTCGTGGTGGGACTGCGTGTGCCATGGTGGGACCTCGTGTGTTGTGGTGGGACTGCGTGTGCCGTGGTGGGACTGCGTGTGTCGTGGTGGGACTGCGTGTGTCGTGGTGGGACTGCGTGTGCTGTGGTGGGACCTCGTGTGTCGTGGTGGGACTGCGTGTGTCGTGGTGGGACTGCGCGTTCTGTGGCGACGCGGTGTCACAGGCGACAACGCGTTGAGATTTCAGGCGTTCCAGCGACGCCGCCATCGCAACCACGGCACTCAGAAACTGGGCCGGCAACATCGCCCCGCTCCCCGGCGCTCCGATCCAGTGGAATTCCACAGCACCGGCAGCGTAACCTCCCCTCCCCCCGCACCGCTCCCCCACCACCACCACCACCCCCCGCCGGACCCACCGCCTTCTCCCCACTCGCCACGACCGCCCCCCCCCCCCGTCTCCCCCCACCTCCACCGCCCCACCGTCCCGCGGAGGAACAGAAGGCTCTTTGTGGCGGAGCGAGCGTGTCTGCGGGAACAGAGCTCGCCCGCTCGCCCGCCCGCTCGCTCGCTGGGCCAGCGTCCAGCCCACAATTCATTCTCGCGGACAGCCTCGTTGCTCTCGGGCCTCGAATTAAGCGTGAGTGGCGTGGCGAGTGGCCGCTCCGCTGTGTATTGCTGCAGCCATGCGTGGGACGACGCCAGGTGCTGCTGCTGCTGGTTGATGCAGTCCACCAACCCCAGCCCACTCTCAGTGAGCTGCAGCGGTGGGGTGACGTGGAGGAGGTGGTGAGAGGCGAGCAGTCGATGGATGTGGTGTGGAAGCCGTCTCTGGGATCCGGCGCTTTGGGAAACTCGGGTTGGCGGATGGCGCGATGATTTGCGAGACTCCAAAACCCAGCGGGCTACGACGTGGCCAGGAAATGGTGGCACAGCGAGGGTGTTTATGAGCCCCGTCTGTGTGGACCTTTGAGAGTTGTCCCCTCGCATGAGCGGTGGCCTTTTCCCCGGGTTCTCCAGTTCCTTGCCGCGCGCGAATAATAAATTCCTCAACGTGGAATTGGCCCTCGTGAAAATGAGTCTCGGTGAGACTTTCCCCGGATAAATAAACGGCCCTGTTATTTAATAATTTGACGGACATGTGCACGGCGAAAAAAAAAAAAATCTCACCACGTGACCTTGACACAGCCAAGTTAAACACCAACAGGCCGCCCGCGCGCTCTACACTGGGGGAGCATCGATCTTCAGAGGGCTTCGTCACTCCGCACGGGAGCTCCGCAGTGAACGGGCGGGATCGATCCGCTGCTGGATGAAGACCACCCCGACACGTTTTGTCGCGTTGCCGACAGTCCACCTTGTGCCGGTGCGCGAGCCGATCTCACCGCTCCATCTCCGCGGCGGGCGTCAGGCAGATCGTCATTTTTGTTTCACGAAATGTAAACTGACGATGGCGTAGATGCAGTTACGAGTGAATGACTGAATGAATGCTTTCGCGATAATGACCCGCCTGCTTCCGCCAAGCCCGCCGTAACAAGTTCGCGTGATTACCTTCAAGCGGAAGGGACTCCGCTAGAGGGAGCTCTAGGGAGCCCCTCTAGAGGCTAACTTTGGCCTACCCTTACATTTGTGGGAGTACCCACACTTCACTGCACGCGGCCTGCCAATCAACTAAATGAGGTTCATGCATATATATATATATACTTCTGGGTGAACAAAGACGATGTGCGAGTGGATTTAATAAACATGATTTCAACTTCCACGCCGGGAGATGGAATCGAAGCGGCGCCCTCTTGATTGCAATTTCCACGCACGGCTAACCGTCACGGCACCACTGTGGGCAGCACCCGAACCGAAGTCCCGAACCGTGCGGGGCCTTTACCTGCTTCACCGCGGCGACGACGGCGTCCTGCTGCGTGCGCCTGGGGGCCGTCGTGCCGCCCGTGTTTCCGTTGCCGGGGCCTACGAGGTCGTTCTTGTTGCGGTCCTGCCCTCGCGTCCACGCGGCGACTCCGACGCCGCCCGTGGGCTTGGGGGAACGCCGCTTGCCGCTCCTCTCCGTCGGTTGGCTGCTGTTGCTGTTCTCGTCCAAGCCAGTGTCCTCCTGCTGCAGACTCTGTAGGCTCCGGTTCGCCTGCTCCTGCTCCTGCTCCTCCTCATCCTCCTCTTCCTCCGGCGTGGGAGGCGCTCCGGCGGGAGACGCTGCGGGAGATGTGGCGGGAGACACGGCGGGAGACGCGGATGGTGCTCCGTTGGGAGACGCAGTGGGCGACCTGGCGGGAGAGGCGGATGGTGCTCCGTTGGGAGACGCAACGGATGACGTGGCGGGAGAGGTGGGTGGTGCTCCGTTGGAAAACGCGGCGGACGACGTTGCGGGATACGTGGCGGGAGAGGCTGGCGCCGCTCCATCGGGAGACGAGGCGGGAGATCCCGTGAGAGACGTTACGGAAGACACCGCGGGAGACGCGGGAGCGCCGGTCGGGTGCGGGAGGCTACTGGATCGGCGTGGCGGGGGAGGCGGGGGGTTCCGAGGCGGAGGCAGCGGCGGGAGCGGCCGGCGAGGCGGCAGCAGCGGAGGGGCCGAGCCCTCGGGTGACGGTGCGGCGGCCTCCTCCGGAGCGCCGGCCGTCCCCCGCATCTCCGTCTCGCTCGTGGCGCCCGGTCGCCCGGCAGGAGGTGGCAGGGACGCCGACGGCGCTCCGGCCCCTGGCCGTGGTGCTTCGGCGGCAACGCCGCGCTCCCCGTCCTCCTCGGAGCGCGTGTCTTCGTCAAGCGGCAGCAGCGGCGTGCTGGACATGTCGTCGTCGCAGCTGCTCAGCTCCCAGGCGCACTCGCTATCACGCAGCGCCACGTAGGAGTACGCGGCGGCCTTGCGCGGCTCGCCGGCGTGCGGTGCCGGTTTTGACCGCTCGCTCCTCTGCCTGAAGGAGGACGTGCGGTTGAGGACGGAGCCGCCGCCCCCGCTCTGCGCGGACATCTTGACGAGTGCCGCCGACGCGATCTCGATGATCTCGGTCACGTAGCGGCACACGCCACGCGCCGGCCTCGCGGTGCCGGTCTCCGGGGAGGCGAGCTCACCCTCCTCCTCCTCCCGACGCCGCCGCCGCAGCGGTGCCACCATTGTCGCTTCGAAGCAGCTTAGCTGCGCTTCCATCGCCAGCGTGAGCGCGTCCGCGCGGGGCCGCAGCGGCGTCACGGCGGCGCAGTCAATCTCCACCGAGTCCGGGCCGACGTCCGAGATGCGCGAGAACGAGAGGGACGAGGCGGAGCTGCTCCGCGTGACGCCGCCCGCCTCCCTCGTCGTGGAGAAGGGCACCGGCAGCATCGGAGTCGTAGGCTGGAGCACGGAAGGCTCGGCCGAGCACCACAAATGACTACCCGGCGGCGGCGGCGGCGACGGCTCCGGCCCACCTGCGTCTTCCGCCGTGAGCTCGTCCCCGCGCGCCGGTGGGTGGCTCCACCTCTGGTGCGACTTCTTGATGAGGCGGTGGCCCTTGCCGGCCGCGCCGGTGGCGCCACGCTCTGCACCGTCCTCCCGGGCGGCCCGGGCGGAGACCGCAGCCTGCACGAAGGACGCCATCTTCTTCTTGTTCTTCTTCTCGGCAAGAAAGTCCCTCTGGGAAATGGGCCGGCCCTCCGGCGCGTAGAGCGTCTCCCCCTCCGGGTTCTCAAAGCACAGACTGTCCTCCTCGAAGGACGACAGGTACGGCGACTCGTCCACGTTGCCGTTCTCGAAGTCGGCGTTGCTCGCCGAGCCGGGGTCGGCCGCTCCCCGGAACGTTCCGGGCGGGAGGAGGCCGCCCTCGTCCGCTGCGCACGACGGGTTCACGAGGGTAGTGGTCAGTGGGTCGGGACGCGAGAACCGCGCGTAGAACGTTCCGAACGGCCGCCCGGCGGCGCCATCGCCGCCGCTGAGAACCGCGGTGAGGCTCTGCAGGTGGGCCGCATCCCACGCAGGCCGCAGGTAGAAGCCGTGGTTTGCCGTGGTCGTGGCGGCACACTCGTCCTCCGAGAAGCTCTCGCTGTCGTCGCTGTCGTCATCGTCGTCGTCGTCCTCGTCCCAGCTGCCCGAGCTGGACGAGGTCTCCTCATCCACGCAGAAGCCGTCCTCGTCGCCGCCGCCATTGTCGCCCTCTTCATCGTCGCTCAGGGTCACTGTGGAGCTGGATAGGAGGTCCGTGTCGTCGTCGCCGTCGTCTTCCGAGCAGACGGACGTGCCCGAGATGTTGACGATCATGCTCACGCTCGCGTCCTCCGCCGGCGAGGCGCTCGGCTCGCCGCGGTCATCGGACGTCAGCGAGACGTCCTCGCAGCTCCCGTCCGACGGCTCTGAGATGGAGGCGACCGAGTCCTCGCGCCCGCGGGGCCTCCCCTCCGGCGGGGGACGAGCGCCCGGCACCGAGGGCCGCGCCGAGACGCTCTCCGGCGCCGCGCCCGACGCGCCGCCACGCGCCGCTCGCCCGCCCAGGCGGCCGCTCGCCTTTTCCAGCTGCTGCAGGAGCTCCAGTGTGGCCTCGCTGAGGTAGCCAGCGGCGGCGACCCCCGTGGCCGCGCTCCTGTCCGCCGGCGCACCGCTGTGGTAGTAGCACTCCTCCCCGCCCATGCATGTGGAGTCTGCGGACGAATTCATCGACGGGAGGTCGCGCTCGTCCTCCGTGAGCGACGCCGACGACGTGGGGCTGGGTGGCTCCGGCGCAGCGGCGGCGTCGCGGAGCAGCGGCTTCTTCTCCGCCGCCCCGGGGTCGTCGCGATCGGAGAGACAATAACGAGGCAGAGGAGGAGGAGGAGGCGACTGCGCATCGGGGACCTGCGCTCCGGAAAACCCCGCGGACGTCGTCACGTGGGGCGGGCGCCCCGGCTCTTCTGGAAAGTGGCCGTTGTCGTAGAAGCCGAGAGGCCTCGCTGGCCGGTTGGGCGTCTCGCGGTCATCCTCATCCGGGCGGTTTCGCCGCGACGCTCGCCTCTCATCGGCCGCATCCCCCTTCTCCGGGCAGCGCTCGCCCGTCGCGGCGCGGACGTCTCCCGCCCCACCGGGCGCCGCGTCGTCGCCCGGCGGCCGCGAGTCGGACATGGTGGCGGCGTCGCCCTCGCTCGCGATGCCGCTCTCGCACTCGCCCGTCACGCCCGGCGTCCCCCAGCCGTCGCCCAGCAGCCCGTCCAGGAGGTTGAGCAGCGACTCGGTGGAGGAGAAGGAGGAGTCCTTGCTGGCGCTCTTCACCAGGCCCTTGGCCTTGCCCGGCCCACGGAGGCCGAAGCCGCCGTCGAGCGGCAGGGTGGGGTCGGCGTCCAGGGAAACGTCGTGCACGCTGTAGACCTGGTAGACGAGCGAGCCGCCCGGCTCGTACGACATCCCTCCTCCTCCCGCTGCTCTCTCTTCCTCTTCCTCTTCCTCGTCGTTTTTCTCCTTCGTCGTCGCCCGCGGAGCCCGGCCACGCGGCGCCGAGGCAGAGAAGTACGCGCTGGTGGGGTCGTCGTCCGCGTGCTCCTCCTCGGCGTGCTCCCCCTCGTCGTGCTCGCCCTCGTCATCGAAGGTGGAGGTGATGAGCTCGTTGTCCAGGTCGGTCTCGTCCCACTCGAGCGCCTCGTCGCTCGAGCAGCACAGGTCGGCGAGCGACGCGTCCACGTGCCGCAGCGGCGCCTGCGCGCGCGCGGGGGGTGGGGCGGTTACTGCCTATGTGTGTACACGTGGGTATCTGTGTGTGTCTGTGTGTGTACGTGTGTGTACGTGTGGAGCGGTGGTGTAGCGGTTAGCGTGCTGCGCTACGAACCTGGCGACCCGGGTTCGATTCCCGCTCATGGCCAATACCGGCGGTGACGATTAGACTGTAACAAATGTTTATTTTGTTCTTGAGTCGTAAGTGTTATTTCCTAATTGCTTATGCCTCAAAAGTACAGGAAATGGCTATTATTCCCAACAAACTTTGCTTTTGTGACCAGGACAGTGATATTTAGAAATGTACCTATTTTAAATGAAAAAACGGGCGAATTTGTGTCTTTTCGTTCACATAAAGTAAAAAAACAACAACATATGAATCAAAATGAACATGTATTTATACTAAAGTAATACAAAAAGATATTTACTAAAGATTTAGACACCAAGGCACACTACCACAGGCCACAGCGGACCGAGTTCTCTGTGGGGAGGAACAACGTCAAGTGGGAGCCACTGGTGGACCCCCGGAAGGTGCTGATGCCACCACTGCACATCAAATTGGGCCTTATGAAACAATTTGTCAGAGCTGTAGATAAGGAGTCGGCAGCCTTCAAGTACCTTCAAGACTTCTTCCCTAAGCTGTCTGAGGCAAAGGTCATAAATACATGTTAATGTGTGTCTAAATCTTTGGAAATAATTTTTGTATTACTTTAGTATAAATACATGTTCATTTTGATTCATATGTTTTTTCTGAACGAAAAGACACAAATTTGCCCGTTTTCTCATTGAAAATAGGTAAATTTAAAAATATCACTGTCCTGGTCACAAGTTTGTGGGGAATAATAGGCATTTTCTCTACTTTTTAGGAATGAACAATTACGAAATAACACTTACTACCCAGGAACAAAAATTGTGTTACATTGTGCTATCAGATCCGGTCTTGGGCCTCCCCTAGGTCGACTCAGCCTCAACTGAGTACCTGGTGCAATGTGTAAACATCGCCACGAGGGAGACAAAGGTGGCCAGGCATGGTGTTGGCCACCCACCCCCTCGTGTGCCATGCCGACCTTCATAGGTGCTCGCTAACAGTACTTGCCCCTACAGTCTATACGGGTGATCTTTCTCTTTGCTGCGCTACAAACCCGCTGACCCGAGTTCAATTCCCGCTCACAGCCAACACCAGTCATGAACATCTGAACTCCGCCTGGACCTCCCCTAGTTGGACACAGCCTTAAATGAGGACCTGTTGCGGTGTGTAAACACAAGCACTGTGGAGACAAAGGAAGCCGGGCGTGGTGCTAGCCACCCACCCCCTCGAGTTCGATCCAACAACGGGATGAAAACTAAATAAAGAAAACTACAACAACGTGAAGTGGTATCGGCGTCGCCGAGAGTGTGTGAAACGGTCCCCCTGGTGCCCCCCGGTGCCCCCCCCCCCCCCCCGGTAGCTCCGGGCCGCCACTCGCCTGCTCCGGCGTGCAGCACCGCTGCAGCCGCGACTGCCAGTGCACGGCCTGGAGCACCAGCGCCTCCCACCGCCGCTCCATTCCCTCCGCCAGCCGCCGCACCTCGCCGGCCCCTCCGGCCTGCTCCGCCGCCTCTACCCACTCCGCGCCGCCCCCTTGTCCGGGAGCGCCGGCAACCTCCGGTCGCTGGGGCTCGCGAGCCGGAACCGTCCGTCCGCGAGGCCGTAGCTCGTCGCTCGCGGACGGCTCGCCGCGAGTCCGGTCCGCCGGTCCGGGGGCGCCGTCCGGGTTTTGCGGTGTCCCGGCGGCGGCTGCGCCGGGCCACGTGCCGTGGAGCGTGGCAGCCGAGAGATGCGGCGGGGATCGGCCGCCACTCCCGGCGGCGCTCTCCTCGTGCTCCAGCAGGCGGTGGCACAGGCGCAGCAGGGCGCCCATGCCCCTGCGCCGCTGCCGGATGTGAGCGCACAGCGACTGGGGAGGAGCGGGGGGCAACGTCGCGCACAGCACCACGGCAAGTCACGACACGGTTGATTTGTGTCGGCAGGCGAGAACACGAGAGGCCAGGATGGAGTCTCCATTGCAAGAGCGACCTGGGTCACCAACATGGCAAATGATTAGAATGGATCTCGTCTAGAGGAGAGCGATGAAGCAAAATAGAAATCGGAGCAAACGCAACCGTGTCAAGAACGCACTAAGCACGCCACGCACCGCACATTGGCATAGCACGTACAATAGCACACCGAACATTATACCACACACACACAGACGGAACACGCCAGAGATAACACCACACCACAACACCCCAAACATTATACCGTACTCGCACAATACAGCTTACCAAACCACACATTCGTACACCACACCACAAACACCGCACAGTGGCACGCCACATACAATACCATACCACACACACACAGACGGGACACGCCAGAGAAGAGATAACACCACAACACCCCAAGCATTATACCGTACCACCACAATACAGCTTGCCAAACCACACCAACGTACACCACACCGCACATCACAACACCGCGCCAAACATAACACCACCCACACGGAGACAAGAGTCACCATACGGCAGATCACACCACATTAACACTTTGAAAATTATTTTAAAATATGATGCCGATATTCATTTCCATGGGGGTAACAATTAGATACAAATGTAAATGCAATTATAGAATACAAGTAAAATATTCGCAAGAATGATGAGTCGTTATGGGAGGAGCGGGAACAGGAGGGAAAACTCGCCCCTGAGGCGGACATCCACCGTGGAGACGGAGCAACAAATCCATCTATGTGGGACGTACTCGACGGATCGTTGCGCTGCAGAATTGTGAGATGTCGACGGTTTGCAGTGGCCCTGGGCCAGCAGCGGATTAAGCATGGCCGCTGGCGCATGTACTCTACGTTGAGCATCTCACATCGTACGTAGCCAACCGCGCGAATCGGAGGTGCTGACGATGACGACGGAGATGATGATGAAGAGCTGCGTGTGTTTGCCCCGAGCCGACATCGCTCGCGTGATTGGGCTTCGCCGGCTAGACGGCGCCGCTCGGCGTGACGCGTCTCACGGGGCGACGCAGCCAGGTCGCTTATGAAAAAGAAGCTCAGTGGGCTTCACCTGGTTACATTTTTATTTTTGAAGTGATCTGTTTACCTTTCCTGTAATGTGCACTCCAATTGTGTTTGTGTATTGGTTGTTGTAACTTTCTGACCCGCCCTTACTGATCATCGGTTATAAAGCGCTTTCTAGCTCATCAGATGCCTGCACTACAAATAAATATTCTAATTCTTGTTTTAGATTCCTTCCAACGAAGAATTCAAAGGTGGCTTTTCCGATATTCAATTTGCTTTTTGCATTCCCAATGACACGGTGCGTCATCTGTTATAACCGATGATGAAGAATAATAATTTGGAGTCGACTGCCGGGCTGTGGTTTATCATCACGTCGTTCCAGGTGGTCGGCCTCGTCGAGTAAAGCCGCAGGTGGTGGCACTGTCGCCTGTGTTCCCTCGGGCCCTCCGCACGCTCGACACCCGCCACGCGGTTATGCGCGTAGACATCGGACAGCGCTCAAGGGCCGACGACACGCCGGCTCGCGGCATCGCACCACGGAACAAACCTCACCCCTCGCCTCCCGCCACGCGCGCACGATCGGCACCGCGGCACTCCCGGGATGTAAACGTAGCGGACGCACGCGGCACGCCTCCGCGTCGCACACGCGGGTGGGACGCGTCCGCCCTCCCCGAAGCGCGCGAGGCGGCAATCAGAGACGCTCGGGAAAGACGGCGCCGGCTCGCGGTGAGCGAATGACGGGCGCGGCAAGCGAGGGCGCTCGGGGAGGGGGGCGCTCATTTTGCACGCCGCCAATAATCTCGGATGCGGCACTTCAAAAACGCGCCGACAATTACTCGATGAAAATTGCAATTTCTGGTTTGTGCCTCCGTCCTCGGCCTTAAGGCGAGAAGCGCGGGGCTGCCGCCCGGCGCAGTCCGATGCCTTCGTTAGGAGGAGCGCCACTTCGTTAGCCGCCTCGTTCGTTTTCCGCAATCCAGCACCTTCAATTACGCGTCCCGGGCGGGAGAGGGGGGGGGGGACTACGCGACCGCGAGCTCGCGGCTCCCAGGGATCGAGCGCCGGAGAAAGCGCGGCCAGGGCGCCTCGCTGTCCGCGCGTTGCAGCACGCCCGCAATTGGCAAATGTGACCTGCGACTTTGATCCTGACCACCCGTGTGTCGATGGCTCTATGCGCCGGAGGGACAGTCCAGTTCAATGTTAATTTTATTGAGGGGCTCCTGTGTGTGCAATTAGAACTTACATACTTTGTCTATTTGTATTTATTTGTAGTGATTTTCTTACCCTTCTTATACTTTGCACTCTTATCGTTTGTTTTGCATTGTGTCTGTTTTTGTAACTTTCTGACCTGCCCTTGCTGGACATCTGTGAAAAAAAGAGCCTCGTGGCTTATCAGATTCCACCAGACAAATAAAGATTCTGATTCTGAGCGGCGGGCGTCGTGGCGACGGGCGTCATGGCGATGGGTGACGTGGCGATAGGGCACGTTTCCAAGATAACGATGTTGTTGGTGACGACGATGCTCGTGGCGATCACGACAACAATGAAGACGACGACGACGGAGGTGGAGAGACAATCGGTGGAGACCGGCGCAACGGAGACAAAGGTCCCCCTGGTAGGCTTGAGGTTATTGGGGCAAGTGCGACGTGTCGGGGCCCGGCTCGCGTGCGAGCGTACCTTGAAGCGGCCGACGTGAGCGTCCAGGTCGCGGGCGAGGTCTGCGTCGCCGGCGGCCGCGGCGTGCAGCAGCAGCTGCTCGGCGTGGAGGAGCCAGCGGCGCAAGTGGCGCACGGCGACGCCCAGGCGAGTGAGCAGGGCGGCCGCGTCGGCGCCCAGCAAGGCCCGGACGGCCGGCGAGCCGCCGTCGCCTTCGCACGGGGGGCACGCGTCCTCCAGCAACGCCTGCCGTGGGGGGGGGGGGGGGCGGGGGGGGGGGGGGGGGCGCGGTCAGTTTATTCATTCAATTTCTCATTCGCTCATTCGGTTCACTCAGTTGCAGATTCGTTTGCTCGCTCGTTTGCTCATTCTCATTGCAGCTCGCTGCTCTACGGGACGTTACCAGGCTGCAGCAGCGTGCACAAACAACATCTCTGGCACGTGTCGTGACGGGCACCGCAAAATCAGCCCGTGTCCGTCCGGTGCTCGCTGAACTGCACTGTGCTGCCGGGTTGCCGAACGAAGTCGTCGTTATGAGGTCGCACTCATTATGCACAAAGTGCCCACCACACGTGAACCACAATACTTTGCTGATCTCGCCAAGAAGCATAGATTTGGAATTTGCATGTTCTCCCCGTGATCGCGTGGATTTTTGTCTGGGTCTTCTGGTTTTTCCCTCCACGTTTGGAATCAACATCGCGCGTTTAGACCATTCTCATCCTTCTCCTCCCACGCGTTTGTCCCACTCGCGTGGGGTCCGCCACCTCGTCAACCTCCTCCACACTGCCCTGTCCTGCGCCACCTCGCACCACATCGCCCCACCTCGTTGTCTGCCTTCCTCTCGATCGCTTTCCTTCCACAAGCATCGCTTGCACCTTCTCAGCCACACACACTTTTCTTGCGGTCTCTCCACATGACCGAACCGCAACAGAGCCTTTTCTCTCTCAACTTCTCTGTGATTTCTACCACCTTGAGTCTTCCTCTCATACTCTTTGGTTATTTCGGTAAAGTCACGGAGGTGTGAAATAAAATGAATCACGATGTTTCGACCGCAACACAAGCGGTCGTCCTCAGGCGGAAAATATAGAATCAAGCAGTGGAATTACCCGACGATCTAAATGCCACCCCGAACCCCACCCCATCCACCGCACATCCTCATCTCATATCATCTCTGTGGCTGCCATAGCGTAGTCCGCCCTCTTTATTGTGCCCCAGCACTCGGCCCCCTCCATACAACAGCACCGGCCTCACCACCGTCTTGTACCATAGACTACTACACTACACTATACACTACTGCACTACACTATACACTACACTATACACTACTACACTATACACCACTACACTATACTATACACTACACTATACACTACTGCACGACACTATACACTACTGCACTACACAATATACTACTACACTATACACTACACTATTCACTACTACAATGCACTATACACTACACTACTGCACTACGCTATACACTACTCACTATACACTACTACACTACACTATACACTACTACACTATACACTACTACACGACACTATACACTACTGCACTACACAATACACTACTACACTATACACTACACTATACACTACTCTATACACTACTACACTATACACTACTATTCTATACACTACTATACTATACACTACTACACTATACACTACTACACTACAACACTATACACTACTACACTATACACTACTACACTACACTATACACTACTACACTATACACTACACTATACACTACTACACTAAACACTACTGCACTATACACTACACTATACACTACTACACTACACTAAACACTACTGCACTATACACTACTACACTACACTATACACTACTACACTACACTATACACTACTACACTATATACTACTACACTACACTAAACACTACTGCACTCTACACTACACTATACACTACACACTTTTCCCATCAACCAAACTGGGACCCTCTTATCGCACACCACGCCGGTCATCTCTCGCCACTTCAGCCATCCAGCCCTTGTTCTTGCTCTCATCTCTCCCTCGAGTGATCCATCAGCACCACATCCTTGCACCCAGGTCCTTAAAGCATTTAGAGTATTTGGCTGCTATAAATGTCCATGGGATGAACCGTTTCGTTGAGCTATCATTTGTGATAGCCAGGTGGCTTCTGAAGAAGAGCTACATAGCTCAGTGGGCCTTACCTGGTCAAATAAAAATAATAGTTAAAATAAACACTTTGACACCTAATTTGCTTGGCTATGAACAGCAGCGGCACTCATCGGCGTGTGACCCCCTCTCCTCATTGTCTCCATTCCTTAACCTGCCTCTTCCACTCCTACTCCCACGATCCTTCTCTTCGTATCGAATATTCACGACGCGCGTGCGAAACGGCGCTCCCTGGGGGGCGGGGGGCGTCGCGGTTTTAGAATTCCCCCACACGCTCTCCGCACGTGAACCCGGGCCCTCTTCGGCGGCAGCAGCTGTCGGCCCGCGGGCGCGGCGGGGCCCCGCGGTGTCGCCGCTCGGTGCGGCGGCGCGCCGGGGTCGGCCCAGCTGGGAGTGCAGCTGAGCTGCGAGGTCCGGCGAGGCGCGCGGCCGCATACCAAACGCGGCGAGCGCGCCCGTGCGCACGCGTAGGGACGCGCAGGGGCACGCGGGCGTGCGTCGCGTGCAAAGACAAAGATCCCCCGTATAGCCTTCAACGGGCGGGAGAAGTGCTGTTAGGCACCTGCGTATGGTGTGAAAGAAGTTCAACGTACACAGCGAGTAGCACCGATGAAAGCCGGCACAGTGCACTGGCGCCATGCCCAGTGGCGGTGTTTACACACCGCACCGGGTACTCATTTGAGGCCGAGTCGACCTAGAGGAGGCCCAGCACCGGTTCAGATAATCGTCACCGGTGTTGGTCGTGAGCGGGAAACAAACTCGGTGTTGCCGGGTTTGAAGCGCGGCGCGCTAACCCCTACACCACCGCTCCCCCAGTGGAACACTGTACACGCACACACGCGCACACACGCACACACGTACACAAGCACACACGTACACACGTACACAAGCACACACGTACACACGTACACACACACGTACACACGTACACAAGCACACACACACGTACACATTCGTACACACGTACACAAGCACACACACACGGGCAGCTGCGGTGCTGTGCTATGTGGTGGTCAGCGGATGGCAACACAGCAATATCCATTGTAGTCCTGTACTTCTATGCTCCCCGCCTTCACCAAGCCGCGCTGCCGACCAGGGCGGTGAAGTTGGGCGAAAGAGCCACGAGGGGAGGTCGTCATCCAGCAGTGGAGCGACACGGAGTTCTGCGCGTGCGAGCCACCGTCTTGGCGGGCAGGCGGCGGGCTCCCCTCGCCGTGCGTGGGGCTGCGAGGACCTTCAAGCCCGTCCTGGCTCGCGTCTCTGCGTCAGCGGATTTCAGTTTCTTTTTTTCGAGATGTAGAGGTGCGGAATTTGGGGCTTTGGCGGCGGGGTCACCTTGCGGCGCTCTCTCTCGGCGCAGCCCGTGCCCCCGTGCCACGGGCTGCTGTCACCGTCCGTGCCAAACCCGTCACACCTCGCCCGTCCGCCCGCCCTGCCGCCCCTCCTCCCGCTAAATTATACAACTTCATCCAAGTGTTAGCGGCAGGGTTGCCGTCAACGACGACTTACTGGTGAGAAAAAAGCTTGCTAGCTCATCGGATTCCTCCAGTATAAATACAGATTCTGATTCTGAAAATATTCTGACTTTCATCATCATGTGTGCACGTTGAACTTCTTTCGCACCGCACGTAGCCAATAATCAGCAGCAGTAGCTTTGGACATGATTGATCCACTGCTGGATGAAGGACTCACGACAAGCCGTCGCCCGTCTCACGGTCGAGTGATGCCGCAGTGCGTGCAGATCTCATCGCGGCGGATGGACATTCATGAACGTCATTTTTTTTGTAACACCAGGCGGTGTGTTTGTTGTGGGAATGTCAAAATGTAAAAAAATAATTCTACATCTATATAAAAATTCAGGTTGAGCACCCACACTAACATGGTCCCTGACTCGAAAGTCGTCCAACGTTATGGAGCTCGTGATATGGAGCACGTGTTATGGAGCACGTGCTGCCACCATTCGCCTCTCACCTGCACCGCGTCCCACTTGCGGAGCAGAGGCCGGAGCCGAGCGTGGAGCCCCCCACGCCGGGGACCCCCCTCCGCCGCCCGCACGGCGATCCGCTCCACCCGTCGTCGCCACAGCGGGAGCTCCGCGCCAAACACCTGCAGGCCGTCACACGCGCACCGCCACCGTCACCATCACCGCCACCGCCACCGTCACCGCCACCGTCACCATCACCGCCACCGCCACCGTCACCGCCACCGCCACCGTCACCGCCACCGCCACCGCCACCGTCACCATCCGTCACCGCCACCATCACCGTCACCGCCACCGTCACCATCACCGCCACCGCCACCGTCACCGTCACCGTCGCCACCAATAAAAACCAAAGATACAAAGATCCCCTGTATAGCCTTAGTAGCACCTATGAAGGCCGGCACGGCACTGGTGTCGCTGGCCATGAACGGGAATCGAACTCGGTTCGCGGGGTTCATACCGTAGTGCACTAACCACTACACTACCAGCTCCTCACTGCCACCGTCACCACCGCCAGCCACAGGCTACCACCGTCTCCACCACCCACCCACCTAGTGGCCAACCACCACCACTCCCCACCGGCCACACGTACAAATTAAACCTCACTCCGCCGATTTGTTTCCGTGTCAGCCTGTAATCATGCCTGTTAAGATTGCCATTTCCATTTTGGTTTCTCCTTGAAAGACCGTTGATGAAAATGGACGTGCCAAACGTCGTACGTCGCGCGTGACGTTTGCGTGATTTATTTTTTATTTTTTTGTTTTATTTTAATGCAATTTATAAATTCAGAGGGTTATTCCTATTTTTCTGGTGGGAGTATCTGGGCAATAATGGGAAAGTTATTGGGTCAGCGATACATTATCAGGACCTGTTCAAAAACACACGCACGATAAGAGTAATTTATTTCATGATTGTTTAAGAAAAGTAAAATTGCAAAAATATAGAGCTACTGCTGCCTAAATTGTACGCTCTGTCAAAGTCCTAAATTGAACACGGTACATTTTTTTTATCTCTGAAGAGGCTTTCAGTGGAAGCATTTGACCTCATGTTGGTGATGTTGGTGTTGTTGATGATGTTGGTGTTGTTGATGTTGGTGATGTTGGTGTTGTTGTTGGTGTTGTTGATGTTGGTGTTGTTGGTTTTGTTGATGTTTGTGTTGTTGCTGTGTAGAGTATTTAGCTGCTATAAATGTCCACGTGATAAGCCACTTCGTTGAGCAATCATTCGTGGTCAGGTCGCTTCTGAAAGAGCTACATAGCTCAGTGGGCCTTACCTGGTAAAATAAAAAAATAGTCTCGTTTGAATATAGTTATTTACTTATTTTTAAATAATTTGTTTACCTTTCCTATACTTTGCACTCCCCGTGTTTTTGCACTGTTTGTTGTCCTAACTTTACGACCCGTCCCCTGCTGGACACCTGTGAAAAAGAGCTTCATAGCTCATCTGATTTCTCCGGGATTAACAAAGATGCTCATTCTGATGATGTAGGTGTTGTTGACGATGGTGATGTTGTAAATGATTTCGATAACGGTGATGACGTTAGCCGGTGTTAGCCGCTCGGGTTGCGATGTTTTTTTTTTCTCTTGTTCCACGCTGCTGCTGCCGCACCGCTCTACTGTAATGTTGCACCGATGTCTACTTTACGATATTGGCGCGTGAAATAAAGATCGATGAACCGAATGATGACGATGACGTCGATGATGGTATTCTTTGGTAACGTGGATCGTGCTGACGATGTCGACGGCTGCTTTATATTCAGTCGGCCTCTCGGGGCGCCGCCCACGGCATCACTCGTAGCGAGGAGGTGGAGGAGGCGTTCGTAGGAGCGTCCCCGACGAGGAACCCGGAGTAATGGGCGGGGGGGGGGGGGGTGAGGGCGCTCGCTCGAGCACGTGCCTCTGGCCACGAAACGGCCTTCTTATTTACGAGGGCGGTTGGAAATCATTTGCGTGTTATTTTAGGCCCGTGAAGCCGCGTCACGCTCAATAAAATATCGCGCCGTCCACACCGCCTCCGCCGCAGCAGCAGCACCGTCAGCTCCACCGCGCTCGATGCCGGCTGCGGCGAGGGAGGAGTCGCTCCTCTCACGGACGGGCGCCCCGCGGCTCGTCTTCGTACCGGGGCCTAATGGGCACTTTCACGGCCACGGCCAGGGAATCCGAGCGGCGAGGTGCGCGCGAAAAACGTGTCTGGAATCTGGCGTCAGATTTTTGTGTTTTTTCTCTCATGTCCACGACCCCCTCCCCCAAACCCCTCTGCCCCACACCCCCCACCCATCCCCTCCCTCCCCCCAAATAAATAAGAGATGCTGCATCTCGAATAGTCTGCGAGTTTGCGTCCGCTGTTGTGAAACACGAGCTCTGGGAAATACAACAGGGAGACGAACCGCGCGCACGCGTGGATTTTAGTAGCGCTTGCCAAACGTGCGCGCTCGTCCTGGGAAGTTTGTGATGATATGTATTTACGTCTATTTGTTATTTGCCTTCCACGATCGAGCGATGACACACGGAGCAGAATGACGGACGTTGATGAAGGCTGCGTCAAGTGGAGCGACGCCGTCGCGACGCGCCGAGAGGGCCGGGATAATCGACTTGCGTGTTTTTTGTTGTTGAGATTTGGCCAGAACTTTGTCTGTTGCCTATAGGCTCAGGGTTATAGTCATCCTCAGCAATATTACGCCTACTATTTTATTTACCAGGTATAGCCCACTGAGCTACGAGCTCTTTTCAGAGGCAACCATTCCGCACATGATAGCTCATAGAAATGGCTGATGACATCATCATCAGCACGCATGATTCTAAATGTGGAGAAAAACCCACGTGACCACCGTGGGGGAAAGAGAGAGACCAAGCGAATTCCAAATATACAACAGGGATTGTCAGGGTCCGGGATCGAACCCAGGACCCTGTGCACCAGGCGACGGAAAAAGCATCTCAACACCGGGGCGCCCCAAACGTTCGTGTTCAATTTCATGATCTTTACCGGCGCTTATCGCGACCCCGTGCTACAGACAGACGGACGGACCGACAGAGCCGACACATTGACGCTTTCCACTTCCCCATTGCGTATTCCAATGACCCCCAGACATCAGAGTGGTCGCTCAGGGGGAGGTGGGACCCTCGTTCAGGGGGAGGTGGGACCCTCGTTCAGGGGGAGGTGGGACACTCGTTCAGGGGGAGGTGGGACCCTCGTTCAGGGGCAGGTGAGACACTCGTTCAGGGGGAGGTGGGACCCTCGTTCAGGGGGAGGTGGGACACTCGCTCAGGGGGAGGTGGGACCATCGTTCAGGGGGAGGTGGGACGCTCGTTCAGGGGGAGGTGGGACGCTCGTTCAGGGGGAGGTGGGACCCTCGTTCAGGGGGAGGTGGGACTCTCGTTCAGGGGGAGGTGGGACACTCGTTCAGGGGGAGGTGGGACCCTCGTTCAGGGGGAGGTGGGACCCTCGTTCAGGGGGAGGTGGGACCCTCGCTCAGGGGGAGGTGGGACCCTCGTTCAGGGGGAGGTGGCACCCTCGTTCAGGAATAATTGGCGGGGCCTGAAACGAGCGGCCAATTAGACGGTGACAGCGCCCCAGCGGTGGGGACGGCAATCTGGGGACTGATTTGCTTCTGATTACGCCGCCAGTAAAACCAAACTCCGCGGAGCAAGGCGAGGCCACGTTTTCAAACTTCAATATGGTATATATATAAAAAAAAAAGTTTTGCCGCGACCCGCTTTTTAGAACAAAATTGGTATTGCCAATGATTATGATTATTAAATGATTGCAGAGAATTACCGCGGTAATGGAATTCTTGGTGGGCAGTTCACGGTGTTGGAGGAACAGCAGCGGGGGGGGGGGGGGGGGGGGCAGAGAGGAAGAGGGGGCAAGCGTGCTGAACACAAAGTAACTGAAGACTGCTTAGAAGTGGTCTTGACAGGGGGCGCCCACATTTCACCAATTATTTTTTTTCCCCGCCGCACACACGGCTGCCTACTTGGGAGGGGGAGAAGAGGCTGCGTTTGTTTTGATTCCCCTAAACTCAAAACCGGCAGCTACCCCCGGCCCCGGGATGGCTGAGCCTCCTCGCCAGGTTTTGTTTTCATCTCCCGCGCAGCCCCAGGCGGGCGGCGCCCCGCACGGAGCAACCAACTGCTCACCGCGCCAATATCCGCTCACCACATATCGTAGCCACTCACCGCACCAATAACCGATCACCACATGCCGTAGCCACTCACCGCACCAATAACCGCTCACCACATACCGTAGCCACTCACCGCACCAATAACCGATCACCACATGCCGTAGCCACTCACCGCACCAATAACCGCTCACCACATGCCGCAGCCGCTCACCGCACCAATAACCGCTCACCACATACTATAGCCACTCACCGCACCAATAACCGCTCACCACATACCGTAGACGCTCACCGCACCAATAACCGCTCACCACATGCCGCAGCCGCTCACCGCACCAATAACCGATCACCACATACCGTAGCCACTCACCGCACCAATAACCGCTCACCACAAACCGTAGCCGCTCACCGCGCAAATAACCGCTCATCACATGCCGTAGCCACTCACCGCACCAGTAACCGCTCACCACATACCGTAGCCGCTCACCGCACCAATAACCGCTCACCACATACCGTAGCCACTCACCGCACCAATAACCGCTCACCACATACCGTAGCCACTCACCGCACCAATAACCGCTCACCACATACCGTAGCCACTCACCGCACCAATAACCGATCACCACATGCCGTAGCAACTCACCGCACCAATAACCGCTCACCACATGCCGCAGCCGCTCACCGCACCAATAACCGCTCACCACATGCCGTAGCCACTCACCGCACCAATAACCGATCACCACATGCCGTAGCCACTCACCGCACCAATAACCGCTCACCACATGCCGCAGCCGCTCACCGCACCAATAACCGCTCACCACATACTATAGCCACTCACCGCACCAATAACCGCTCACCACATACCGTAGCCGCTCACCGCACCAATAACCGCTCACCACATGCCGCAGCCGCTCACCGCACCAATAACCGATCACCACATACCGTAGCCACTCACCGCACCAATAACCGCTCACCACATACCGTAGCCGCTCACCGCGCAAATAACCG